CTTTTGTTTAAAACATTTTTCAAAATTTTTAATATTTGTGTCTGAAAATTACATATAATTGGTTGACATTGTTTTTTTAATAACTTTTTAACAAACAACGAGCGACGGCTAAAACCTTCTGAGCGTTACTCAGGAGGGTAACCTTGACAACATATGTCAAGGTCAAGGTCATCGGAGCTGACTCCCCTAAAGTGAACATTTACCAGAAAGATTATTTAATTGATTTGATTGTAAAGCGAAAATTTTTTTGTGAGATAGCAGCCTTCGTGTATGTTATTTAATTTTAAAAACGTGGTTTGCTACATGACCACATATTAATTACTTTAAAACATAATTTTAATATAACAACTCCACAGATCGTTGACAAATATATTTGTGCTAAAATTCCTGATTCTTGTCAAAATTATATTTTACATAACATAGTTATGAAACATATGATTCATGGTCCTTGTGGCGATTAGTGCTTGGTAGAAAATGTTCGAAACATTATCCAAAACCATATTTTGAAGAAACGAGAATGGATGAAGATGCTTATCCTATGAAGAAGGACTGAAAGTTTGGTTGTACAATCCTCGAAGAGTGAAAGGAAAGGCCCCAAAGTTACAGAGTAACTGAGAGGGACCCTATTATGTACTAAAGAGATTGAGTGAGATAGTGTTCTGTATTAGGAAGTCTTCGAAGCATCGAAATAAAATTGTTCAATCGGATAGGCTGGCTTCGTATACGGAGCAGATTTTGTAGGAAGAGAGGTCAGAGCCCGGGCTAGTGGGAACTTTCCTTCCGTCGGAATTTTCGTTTACAATTTAATATCTTCATATACTGTTCTTTTGTTTTTGTTTTTTCAGAAGCGGAATCCCCGAAGAGGAGGAGGCTCCAGGATCAATACCAGTTCTGGTCTTTTCATGAAGAGACTTCTCCTGCTTCGTGGAAATTTCTTTCTTTTAGAAGACTGCTCTTCCCGTGGTTTTTGAACGTGGTTTTCCCGCATGGACAAGGGCAAATGCCAGGGCCTGGGGGAGCCTGAAAAAGTATTTGGGTCCACGGAAGTTATGTCCTCCCCAGTCCGAAGATCTACGAAGAATCAAGAACACAAGAGGAAGCAAGAGAGATGTCGTCAACGCGTGGCGAGGGAGATTTCTGCGCAGTGCAAAATTTCCAAAGACCTTTGGTGGAAGTGCGTCGTCCTGGAGGATGGTGGGGGAGAGTGTGATCAACTCTCCCCAGGTTCACCATCGGGAGAACGGCCTGAAGGAAGGAGGGACTGAAGTCCTGTCTTCGCCTGTATCTACTGAGGAGCTATCCTCCTTCTGATTATCGGGACAATCTGAAGAGGAGGGGGGTAGTGTTACCCCCGCGATTGGATAGCGACGCCCGGTATCGTGGTGGATTGCCACGATACTGGTTCGTTTTGTTTTGTAAATAAGTTCGAGAGAGATTTCGTGCCGAGCTTACTGAATTTAAGACGAGCGTTGTTGTTTCTCGAATAAAAACTATTTATTGAGTTCGGAAAACGGTGTCTCTTATTTACGCGTCCGCGCGTAAGTGTGTGAGAGTGCGCGTGTGTGACTTGCAAGATTGTCACCGTCCTTCAGTCGCGGGAGTGACATGACAATATTTATAAGGGACATGATGTTGCTACTATTACAATTGAATCAATCCATTAATAAAAATGCCGTGTCATGTCGTTGACAAATATAGTCGAATTCATTGTTGCCTTTTACTTGCGATGCTGATTGGTTGTTTGAATCTCGATCGCGTCGCGTGCATAATTTCGTGTCGTGAGTGAGTGAATGTCTCGTTGTATATACACAGTTTGACAGATAACCTTTTTTTAATACTTTTATAAACGTATATTGTATATACACGTATATATGTGTTGTGGGTGCTTTCAGAGTAAGTTATAATCACATTTTTTCGTTTGAATACGTAGTTAAACGTTTTCCTTTGTCATATATATATTCCATCTTTTCCATGTTTATTTCTTTCTGTTTCTCGTTCTCGCTATCGCTTTCTTTTCTGGCTCTCGCTTCTTTGCTTACTAAATTTTTTTATATACACTATTTGTAAAACTTGATTTACATAAAAGATAAATAATTGTATTTTCAAAAAGTATAATTTTATTTTGCTTTTGTATTTATATTTCAATTATTATATTAAATTTATTTAACGTTGCACATTTTTGTATGTATCTTTACTTGTTGTCATATTGATATTTATCTATAATTTTTGCTATTGCAACATGTATTATATTGCCTTAAAAATATTAGGGGGACCGGAAAGTAGGTAATGTCGTTTTTGCGCATGTCGATATTTGTTTGTCATTTATCAGCTCATTGTTTACTTCAAAATCGTGCCAAAGACATTTTAAGGTTAGATTGACTTGTTTACTCGTTATTATTATAATTTATTATAATAATAATTTTTATTAAATATTTTTATTAAATAATTAAATCTTAATTTTTTTTGTAATTTAGGGTGAAATGGCCAACAAAAAGCCGAAGAGGTACTGTTTGGGAAATTTCCTCACTTTCGAATCTCGTCATGAGATCGAATGATCGCGAAATCTCCGTGAGCGCTGCGGGTGGAGCGGGGGGTGAGAAAGGACGTGCAACGTGGCGAGAATGATTACGATTCCGTTTCTTAAAATGAGTTGAACGTTTAATCCATGAAGAATAGAGATAAGGAGGGTCAACTTATATGGGCGGATGCGTCAGATTCTGAGCCCAAAAATTGTCATCGCTGCTAGTACTAAATCCTAATCGAGATGTCGCTTCCGTTCCACGACAGCGTTCTCACGTACACAGTATGAGTGTGATTAGTAGACCCGGTGTGAGTGTATATATTAGTGTACCATGATTTATCCCCTCCCGACTTCTGTTTAGCAATAGTTTGTCTACCGTAGCGCCGCCGGTGTACATATTTTGAACTACCACAGAAACCGGGTTTTGGTCTCATTCTCGAAAGCATTAGTTGAGCCTCCTTATCTCTATTCTTCATGGTTTAATCTTATGTACACTATATACAATTGAGAGTTACTTGGTGTAGAATTTGGGTGAGCGAGTCCGTCGAGCTCTCTTGTTCGCACAAGACCGTCGGGGGTGTGCCGCCCGTTGAGCCGGTGGCCGGCTACAAGCGTGCGTGCACTTACAATGTGAGAGGCCTTTGCGCAGAACACCGATTCACTCGATTTGAGCACTTAACTAATGAGTCTGTCCCGATTGAGTTAACGAGCACTGCAATGGAACTCGTTTCCGTGAGCGCGAGCGCGATACTTTTGTCAGCCGATGCGAACTTTGCCACCACTTACGACGACGACTTTCACACGACTACCGAGCTCTCTGAGCTTGCGCGCAAGCCCTGGAGCCATGTTCACGGGCCCGTCACGTGCTCGTTACCCGGCCGCGCGGTCGCGCGCGCGGTACCACTGGGCCTTGCGAATAACCGTGAGATGGCGAGGGCAGTACAACTAAGATAACTGGAGGAATCTCAAACATTTCCGCCCGCCATCAGCAATGAGGTTGATGATGAGTCCACTCCTACGGATGTTGAGCTTGGCCTTGATGAGCAATGGGCAGCGGTGCCAGCTTGGTGATTGGTCTGGTGGGTGTCTTCAGGGTCACCACGCGGGTGAGTCCATCCTTGGCTGGCATCAGGGTGGAAACTCTGGGTAATGGCCACTTACATCGCGGGAGCCTCTCGTCGGTGATGAGAACCAATGAGCCCACTTGTATGGCGTTGGATGGGTGATGCCACTTCGAGATTGCTTGTTGTCGTTGCAGATATTGAGCTGACCATTGAGACCAAAATTGCTGTACTCGCTGTTGTATGAATTGCCATCGGGATAACCTTGAGGTGGCTAAGTCCTTCAGTGACGGCTCCGGTACTGATGTGAGAGCACTTCCGATGAGAAAATGTCCTGGGGTGAGCGCTGAGATGTCATCTGAGTCGTCGCTGAGTGGTTCGAGAGGTCGTGAGTTCAAGATCGCTTCAATCTGAGCAAGCAGGGTTGTCGTTTCTTCGAATGTGAGCAACGTCTCTCCTATGGTACGACGCAAGTGGTGTTTGAGTGATTTTACCACTGCTTCCCATTTACCACCCATGTGTGGAGCAGCTGGTGGATTAAAAATCCATTGAGTGCGATCTTGAGCAAGCAGGGATGAGATGCGCCGGTTATCTTGAGAACTCTCTGTGAACAATGTTTGGAGAGATTTCTCTGCTCCGACAAAGTTTGTGCCACAGTCGGAGTACAATGAATGAGGGATGCCTCTTCTTGAGACAAATCTTCTGTACGTTGAGATGAATCCGTCCGTTGAGTAGTCTGAAACAACTTCTAGATGAACCGCAGATGTGGCGAAACAGACAAACACACAAATCCATCCTTTATGAGTTTTGGCTCCTCTTCCCTTCCATGTTTTGAGTGTGAGTGGTCCAGCATAATCGATGCCAGTATGCGTGAATGCACGTGAGGGTGTGACCCGAGGCAGAGGTAGTTGGCCCATCAGTTGATGGGCACGAATCCCCCTTTGTCGAGCACACACCACACACCGCAAGATATGAGATTCTACTGGAGCACGTCCACCGATGATCCAATATGATTGCCTGATATGCGCCAAGGTGAGTTGTGTGCCTCCATGTAGTGTCCGTTGGTGGGACCAGCTGATGATTAATTCAGACAATCTCGAATGACGAGGGAGTATTGCAGGGTGTTTGCCTTCATAATTGAGGGTGGAATTCTTGAGTCGTCCCTCCACACGAGCAACCCCTTGATGATCAATAAATGCTGTGAGACGACTGAATGGATGAGAAGTTGCTAGACGTGATTGTGAGCTGAGCATCTTCAGCTCATGTGCAAAAAATGTTGATTGAGTAACCTTGATCCAGAAGATCTTAGCTTGCTCTAAGTCAGCGACTGAGATGTGTGAAGCTTGAGAGCCCTCGTGTCGTTTTCTCAATCGTCGAATAAATACCTGACAGAGAGCTGTGATTCTGAGCAGTCGATTGAGCGATGAATACTTGTAGATGAGATCCCAGTCGTAATCCACCTTTATGTTAGTTGTGAAGAGTGACACTCCTGGGCGCGATTCTGTTGTACACTGCTCGTCCGAGCACGTTGGCTGAGCGGGCCAACGATCTTTCGGTTGAGCCAACCATGGTGGTCCTGCCCACCACAATGTATGATCTTCAAGTTGAGCTGTTGTTACACCACGAGATGCACAGTCAGCAGGATTGATTGTACCTGGAACAAATTTCCAATGAGCATGTATCGTGAGTTCTTGGATTTGTGATACCCTGTTGCGCACATAATCCTTCCATCGAGATGAGTGTTTTTTGATCCATGTGAGCGTCACTTGAGTGTCCGTCCATAAATATGTTGCCTTGATGTCCATCTTGAGTGTGGCATGGACATGTTTAACCAATTTTGAAAGAAGCAGCGCTGCTGTGAGTTCTAACCTTGGGATAGTGAGCCTCTTCAATGGAGTTACCTTTGTTCTTGAGCATATGAGAGAAGTTTTGGCGCTCTTGGACGGCGTGTGCACGACCATGTATAGACTGCAGCCATGGCAAATTGAGATGCATCAGAAAAGCCATGTAATTCAACCGTTGAGCCACTGCTTGTGTTGAACCAGCGTGGAATTGAGAGCCTGGCCAGGCTTGTGAGATCCTTTCTGATGTTGAGCCACCGTGAGACAACTTGAGATTGTAACGGGTCATCCCAGTTGATCTTGTGGAGCCAGAGTTCTTGAAGAAGCATCTTGGCTCGTATTACGATTGGTGAGACAAAACCAAGTGGATCAAATATCTGTGCCACTTCAGATAGTACACGTCGCTTGGTGAGCTGTTCTTGGTGAGAAATTGAGCTTGTTGAGAATGTAAAAACATCTTCTTGAGGCAGCCACTTTAATCCGAGGATTTTGGTTGCGCAATCGTCAAGTGAGACTGGTGAGTTGACCGAGGCTGTCAATAATGAGATTGCGTTTAACAATTCTGGGTGATTGGAGTGCCATTTGGCAAGAGGAAATCCGCCCGCCTGGCAGAGATCTTCCAATTGATGGACAATTTCTATGAGCTGTTCTCCTGTGTCACCACCACCAAAAATATCATCCACGTACCTCCCACGAGTGATTGATGGCACTGCCAGTGGAAATCGATGGCCTTCATCTTCAGCTAATTGCATGCGTGTCCTTACTGCGAGAAATGGAGCAGCCTTCGTTCCATAAGTGACCGTGGTGAGATGATATGATGTTTCATTGAGATGTTCGTCGATCCACAGAATGCGCTGCAGATCCCAGTCTGAGTGGTGTACCTTGATTTGTCGATACATCTTTGTTATGTCTGTGGCAAAGATGTACCTGTAACTACGAATCCACAAGAGAAAGTCTGAAACATTGAGCAGTAGATTTGCACCAGTGTGCATGAGATCGTTTACAGATAATCCTGATGAGGTCGGACTTGAGCCATTAAAGACAACCCGCAGTTTTGTTGTTGTACTGTCGGGTTTGAGCACACCATGGTGAGGCAAATAATATGGCGGAACATCGGATGATGGTTGTGATCCAACTTTCACCATGTGCTTGAATTGTTCATACTCGCTCATGAATTTGGTGTAGAGGCTCTGATATTCCTTGTCCTTGTTGAGTCGTCTGAGAATGCGCTGGAGACTATGGTGAGCAGTACTATGTGAATTCCTTAAGACACTGGTTGGAAGCTTGAGCGGGATGCGTACAATGTATCGTCCCGTTGGATCTCTAGAATGTGTGGCCTTGTAATGATCTTCACATTGTTGTTCTTCCAAGGTAAGCTGGTCTGTTGTATCAGTTGGTAGCTCTTCTTGCACCCAGAACCTTGTCAGCAATTCTTGAAGATCGAGATCGTACTGTTTAACCCTGATGTGATGCGCAGTCGACATTTGTGATGGTGACAAGCTGACTGGACCAAGCACTAGCCAACCAAATATTGAGAGTTGAGCGATTGGCATGTCAGGAGATAGTTTAATGATGTTGGGCTTGATGATCTGCCCGTATGAATCAGCTCCAATGATGATGTCGATTGAGCGTGGCGTGAGGAACTGTGGGTCTGCCAATGTCAGAGGTTCTATGTGTGGCCACGTTTGTTGAGGTGCTGTAAAAGATGGTAGAATGGTCGTTAGTGTTTTGAGGACGTGGGCTTGAATAATGGCAGTATGCTTAGAATGATAGGAGTGAAGCGTGAGTGTCACCACGCCCTTGGTCCTAGTCGTTTTCCTGGCTCCAATGCCAATGATTGAGACAGTTGCGTGTCGACGTTGTATGTTGAGTTGTCTGACGAGATCCTCCGTGATGAATGTGAGCTCAGATCCTTGATCGATGAGTAGCCTTGCTTGATGTGTTGAGACCGTTGAGTGTATGCATGCCATTGCAATTGCAAGTAGCGTTGAACAATGTGCGTGAGCTTGAATTGATTCCTTGACGATTGCACCTGATTCCTAGTGAGCTGGTGATGAGGCAGGTTGAGCAGGGGTCAATGCAGCCGCAGACTGTTCCACATGCAGCATCGTATGATGTTTGGCTGAGCATGTCTTGCAGCTCAGCGCGGATCTGCATGAGCGGACATTGTGGCGCCCCAGACAATTGAAGCACAGTCTCTTGTCGATTGCGGTGGTCTTCCGATTGTGCTGGCGTGAGATCCCTGAACTTGGAGCACGTTACAATGAAGTGCTGTCCATTGTACATGTCACACGGGTGAGCCGTAGCAGAGAATGACTGAGAATGTGTGGGAGCAGATACTTGGTTAGCAGTCGCCTTTTTGTTAGCAGATTTAGATGAGCTGGGTGTGACTTTCGATGAGTTGCCCGAGGAAGGTGGTGCAGCCTCCACTCTCTCCAATGCTCTAGCCCTGGCATTGAGGAAGGTTTCAAATTTCGCAAAGCGCGGATACTCTTGAGATGATCCAAGCGAGGTTTCCCACGCCTCTCTGGTGTCTCTATCCAGGAAGCGTGACACGTGATGGACCAAGAAGCAATTCCACATGTGCTCCGCCATGCCAAGCGAACTTAGAGCCTTATCAATCTCGGACACTGTTGAGACTAACTTGGTGAGCGATGCGGCGTTCTTGGGTAAGGCATGTGAGAGGTTAAGGAGACCGTCAAGGTGAGCCTGTATGATGAGTCTCTTGTTATCAAACCTCGAGGTGAGCAGGTCCCAGGATGGCTGAAGAGATTCTCCGGTGAGAGGCAAACCTCGAATGAGCTGTTCCGCTGAGCCCTGCACACAGCCTCTGAGATAATGAAGTTTCTCCACGTCATTGAGCTTTGAGTGCTGCAAGATTACAGAGGAGAAAAGATCACGAAAGGTGGGCCACGTTGAGTAATCACCATTAAACTTCGGCAACTTAATGTCTGGCAAACGTGAGTGGACTGGCTTCTCCGGATCAGGAGAGGCTGCACGTGGTGAAGTCGCTGTTTGACCTTGTTGAGCAGTAGCTTAGCTGAGATCACGAGATGAGCTTCCTTTTCATGGATGTTGTCCGCAAAATACTCGTGATCCAAATATGCCTCAGGCCATGTTATCTCAAAATAAGCGTGCTCCTTCAAGAACGCCTTATGTAGCTCCTCCAATTGAGACAGCGCTGCTTTGACCTCCCCTAGTGATGTGCTCTCGGGGTCAACAACCTTCGCGTCTGCAATGAGTTTTATGGTATTGAAACGACTCATTTGTGATCTCACCTTGAGTGTGAGCTCGGTGGAGAGACGAGCTGGAGAAGTCTGACGTGAGCTGCGTCCTTGAGTGTTGCCAGAAGCTGCCCCCTTGGGGGCGGTCTGTTGACCAGGCACATTGAGGGTGAGAGGAGATTGCCGACCCGAGGTTGTCTCTTCCTCAGCCTCTGCTTTGGCGGCCTTCTCTGTGTCAGGCATGATGAGCGGAACACGTTGATAACACTACACCACACGATGAGCACCACTGAGCAGCACGAGCCACCGAACAGACTGAGAGCCGATATCGTTGGTTCGCCACGAAAACAGCGAAGTTCAAGTTCACAGTCACAGCTGCTCGATTTGCCCTCGAGAATGTCACTTCGTTACTGCGTGATCACGTCGTGACAACACTGAGATGGCAGCGAGTCCTTGTCACGAATGGCGCACGTGATCACAAGGAGACGCACTGAATTTATGCCGTACGCGGTATGAGAAAAGATCGAGTGCTCGCAAACGAATATTGAGTGTCACGTCACCACGATGCATCCGGCTCGAAGGACCAAATGTTTGGGAAATTTCCTCACTTTCGAATCTCGTCATGAGATCGAATGATCGCGGAAATCTCCGTGAGCGCTGCGAGTGGATCGGGGGGTGAGAAAGGACGTGCAACGTAGCGAGAATGACTACGATTCCGTTTCTTAAAATGAGTTGAACGTTTAATCTTGTGTACACTATATACAATTGAGAGTTACTTGGTGTAGAATTTGGGTGAGCGAGTCCATCGAGCTCTCTTGTTCGCACAAGACCGTCGGGGGTGTGCCGCCCGTTGAACCGGTGGCCGACTACAAGCGTGCGTGCACTTACAATGTGAAAGGCCTTTGCGCAGAACACCAATTCACTCGATTTGAGCACTTAACTAATGAGTCTGTCCCGATTGAGTTAACGAGCACTGCAATGGAACTCGTTTCCGTGAGCGCGAGCGCGATACTTTTGTCAGCCGATGCGAACTTTGCCACCACTTACGACGACGACTTTCACACGACTACCGAGCTCTCTGAGCTTGCGCGCAAGCCCTGGAGCCATGTTCACGGGCCTGTCACGTGCTCGTTACCCGGCCGCGCAGTCGCGCGCGCGGTACCACTGGGCCTTGCGAATAACCGTGAGATGGCGAGGGCAGTACAACTAAGATAACTGGAGGAATCTCAAACAGGTACATATCCGGCATTGTATGCTTTTTGAGTTTCACAAGGGTAGTAACGCAAATTAATGAATTGGGGTGGGAGGTATTGCCTCACCCACCATACTCGCCCGATATTGCGCCTTCGGATTTCCAATTATTCCGATCGCTACATTTTCTAAGTGGCAAAAAATTTGAATATTTGGACAATGTCCAAAATGCCATCTCCAGATATTTTGCTCAAAATCCAATTAATTTTTATCGATCAGGCATTGAAAATTTGCACACTAGATGGCAAAAGGTTGTTGATAACGAGGGTGATTACATCATTGATTAAAAATAAAAACTTGTTACAAAATCTGTTTGAATTTAATATAAAATTCGATGTTTCTTGAAAGTGTGCAAATTAGAAATTTGCACATTGCTTCTTCAGCATTGAAGCGTGCAAATTGGAAATTTGCACATTTCTTCCTCATCATTAAAGTAGGCAAATTAGAAATTTGCACATTGCTTCCATTGTTATGGCTACCTCATAGAGGAAGCTTTAAGAGAGAAATCTAACTTTACTACGATGTTTCTTGAAAGTATTCAAATTAGAAATTTGCATATTCTTATTTCGCTCTTAAAGCTTCCTCTATGAGGAAGCCATGTGCAATTTCTAATTTGCACACTTTACTTTACTTTTTTTCTAATTAGAAATTTGCACATTGCTTCCATTGTTATGGCTTCCTCATAGAGGAAGCTTTAAGAGCGAAATA